ATGGTGTTGACCTGTTTCCAAACAAACACCTACTAGGCGGCTAGTTTCAGGCAGACGTCTAGGATAGTTTCAGGTAGGTTCTTTGGGATTCGGAGATTTAACGAGATAATGCTAACTGCAGATTCAAATGACAAATCGACATACTCCCTGATCAGGCGATCAGCTGTGTTTACCTTGAGCTTGCGTTGGAAATGAATATGAATAGTATCAATCATCCAGTTTATTGTTCCTCAAGCCAGACATATACAATGGTTCGATGTTAGATTTAATACTTCCAGTAGAATAGTTTTCGTGTTCTCTGAGATAAAAAAGTACATTAAACTTGACAAATTATCAGGGTCATCGCTTTCTAAACTTCGAACCGTCTGCATCAGTTTTGTTGATGATATCACTGATTGGCTTTTTTGTTATTCACAATTTCAATTAAATGAGCTAGCTATAATTAAGTAGAAAAAATTTCAAGGCATCCTCATTAAACAAGTTTTTATGGATTCTCTTAATCCGAATAGGAAATTCCGACTCAGGCCTTGACCACTTTTTGCTCTCTCTTTTAATTTATGCTAATATTGTTACATAAATTTACCATATCATTTCAGAAAAGCGAGAGAAAGGAAGTGCTTTGTTTGCAAGAAATGCGATAAAAATGTAATTACATAGGTATAACGTTTCACATAATAGTTATGGTTTTGATAATATTGGCGCTAAAACTACCAGTTATGCAGGAAATTCGCACATTCCACCACATCCTGTATGTGTGTGTCGAGATTCAAGAAAACATGTGACTGCATTGGTAGTTATTCGATAAGAGAAGACCGCAATCTACAGCATGCTGATTAAGTAATCAAGTGATTGCATTATTTATAGAAATTATTTCGAGGTCGCGAATATCAGACAAGGAATAATTTTCTAAGAATATCCGTGACCAAGAAAAAATCCAAGGATAATTCGAACACCCTAAGGCTTGTTCCACACGTATGAGGTTTGTTACGATTTGGTTCGTCTTTGGTTGCAACCGGAGGGTTTAGTTGTAGCAAAGTTGTCAGTTGATATAATACGAAGGGAGATATTTTGTTCTGCAATAAGGTTCCCAAAAAACACAGAATGCAATGATTTCGAAACGATTAATTTTTCAAAAAACGTTCTACGAGAGACAATATAACTCTTTTTGACGTTCCTGACTGATAATACGTATACTGCATTTCCATAGTCTAATGTGATCTAAATTGATTTGAAATCCCTGAACGAATCTATAAATATTTAAAAGATTAGCTGAAGAATAACAATTATATCAAGTAAAAGAAACATTGGAAATAGATTTTAGGGGTTGCGTTTTCCACCCCTCATAACCATGGGGTAAACCAAATAAATTTCTGGCTAAGTGTCTTTTGGGTAGTACAAAACGTCAGGTTAATTTTAATATTGTAACTTTTTCAGTGCTTGTGAAAAAAATTGTTATACAAATTTTATGTACACCTTTTAAGGGGCTGTATCTTAACAAGGGATGCTCCAATGAAATTTCTTTATATGAAAGATCCTATCTTTCTTCGATGAGGAATCACCTCCTTAAATGTCTTACACTTATTTAGTTACACCCTGTATGTACCTGTATCATTGATTGCAAATGGTCTAGCAATAATTTACCTAAATTCCTGTCACTTTACCGTAATCCGGAGCACTCTGGTTAGCTAATCAGGTACCGTTATATGTGATATTTATGTAATTGTTGACGACTTATATCAGTGATATTGACGTTTTTAATGGAGTCGTGGGTGTGTATTCTGAATAGAACGCTGTTCCATTGAATAAATTGTAGAAATATTCAAATTAGTAATTACCATTGAAGACGGATGTTTATCAACAATATAGAAGTAACGCGTCATTACTCAAGGCACGTAGTTATTACATCAGTTGAATTGTTAATGAATGAATGCGTAATCATTTCAATACGTAAAATACATCAGGTGATTGAACACCGTATTTTATGGAATAAACTAGAGCTCAAAAGAATCTTATTGATGATCTGACACCAGCGCTAATTGATCTGTCATAGATCACCTGAGTGGTACTTGGCTGGATCACGAATTCGACGTTTCTAGAACAGGATTGAGACGTTTCTTTGATGTAAAAATTGAGCAAAATGTGACATATTTTTGTTATCTCCACCTCTGTAATAAGTAATCCCAACTTATCAGTCGAATCACCACCAATACGATCAGACAAAATGCTAGGGCCTAATCTATGTCACAGTGACCTGTGAGTAGGCTTGTTAGACTAACTAGATCATTTCTGCTGTAGTATATCAATAGTTTTGAATTTATTTATTGAATTAGAATTCCCTAATATACAGGTTAGCTAACTTAAAATATAATATAATCAACAAAATTTATTTAAATAATACAATTTTATAGATATTTTTCTACTTTCTCTAGAACTTTATTCATTCTGCCAACAGTTTCTTCTAAATTTACTCCAGTACAGGCCAATAAGGTATCATCTGCAAATCAGTTGATGAACTCACAGTCTGTAAATAATTGAATATCATTCAGATACAGAATGAATAATAGGGGACCAAGCACACTACCTTGTGGCACTCCTGTGTGATTTGTTATATATGATGAAAAATAATCGTTTACACGTACTCTCTCTTTCCTATTTGATAAATAATTACTTATCCATTAATGAACCATCCCCTCAATCCCATATCTTCTCAGCTTCTGAAGTAAAATACTTCTATCAATCGTTTCAATGGCCCTTTTGAAATCTAAAAAGACAGCTACAACATATTTACCTCTATCTGTTTCATTATTAAATTTAGTTGATAATAACTGTAGTGCTGTTTCGCAAGAATTGTAAAATAAGTTCGGTAACATATTATATATAAACACCTTGAAACGGACTCATCCCGATGGAGTTTGCTAGGAGTCAGTGTGAAGTCCATCTAGCCCCTAGGTCCAGAAGCACCAGAGATAGCCGGAGAAGCCTGTCTCTGTACCTCTGTACACTAGAAATCTGCTCCTGAGATGATTGCTTTACAGCTTCCTGCCACCAATAGATTTGTTTGGGGCCTAAGCTCCAAGATTTACCACAAATTCTTCGATATGCCAATGGGGACAGCCTGGTTTTGTGTGTGAGTGTTCCAAGTGAGTTTGCACTTCCGTTGCACGTTGGAATAACCTCACCATTGAGTGGAGTTACATCATCCAGATTCCCCTTCCCGGGAACTATCTCAGTTTCGTTGGAATTTACAGAAACCTGCTGCATTTGGCCACAAATGTTGATAACTCGCAGCGTTCTTTGGACGATATTATAGGCTATCCTGCAGGTGTGAGTGTTTTCTGGATGGAGAAATTACCTGTACAAACTTGCGGATCTACTTCTCTTTTGTCAAAGACATCAAAGAGACTCTCCACCTGGAGTGACCACTGAAAGAGAGATAGTATTCCTCCTTGTGAGCAGCCTCTGGTGATTCTGAGCCTAATTATCCCATTTTGAAAAGTCGTAATTAATGTTGATTCTATGCATTGTTCAGCCAGGACTGATCCTAGAGACTTGGGTAGGATTGAATACGTCTAGATCTAATCGGAGAGCCGAATTAAAAAAATTATTAACAAGAAATGAAAATTAAAAATTAAAAGAATCCAAACCAAGTTACTTCACGACGTTTCGATTGCTAGTATCCTCAATCGTCTTCTGGTGATAACTGAACTTATTCCTCCGAGATCTGACTATTTATAGGTCATTCGAGTGCTTTCACCTATCCCCTCTTCCCTCTCTCCGTTTCATCGGTTTTAGCGGGAGCTGACTGTTTGGCGGGAGTTGGTTGTGTTCCATTTGATTAGAGGTTTCCATATGTTGCGTATCTCTACGCTAGCTTGGCTAAATGCGTTGTTGGACAACATATATGCGGCTTCTTTGAATTTTCTCCTAAACCAGTGTTCCTCCTTGTGGATGATTTCAGCTTGAGCCCACTTGATTTTAAGTTGATGAGTCCAAACATGCTTTTCCATTCCTGATTTGCTGGTTTCTCCTCGCAGCGTGTGTTTCTTGTGCTCGGCAATGCGAACTTTCAATGGCCTCTTACTTTCACCAATGTATGATTCTCCGCACTCGCATGGTATCCGGTAAATGCAATTCTTGGAATCGCAATCCGAGTTTAGGGGCTTGGTTTTCGTGAGTCTGCTACGAATAGTGTTCCTAGATCTGAAGCAGGTTCTGATGTTATACGAAAGCAAAACCCAGAAGGTCTTGTTTACGACCTCAAATACTGAAACCACTGAAAATGGCGATGATACTGCCAAACTACTAGGACTCACTCTTGACCGGAATTTATCATGGTATGCACACATTGATGAACTGAGTAAAAGAAGCTGTGTAATAGTATGTTTGCTTTTCGACAGCTAAATATGAATTATGGCATAGTTTTGTGGGGCTATTCCTCTCACTCCATCAAAATCTTCAGACTTCAGAAAAAAGCAGTCATAATATTGATGAATGCCACTTATAGAGATCACTGTAAGCCGCTTTTCAAAAAAATGGGTATACTACCACTACCATCGGTATTCAATCGGTATTTCAATTACTTGAAATCCATCAAAATAAATCAATCAGGATATTCATCATCATGCTACAAGAAATGCTGTTGATACAACCTCGATACAAACTCACAAGGTCTATTGAAAATTCATTGAATATCAATCTCTACAATCATCTTCCTAATTCGTTCAAAGTGCTCAAACAAAGCTCCTTCAAAAACAGAGGCAGAACTATTCTCCTGGAAAACTGTTTTTATAGTACTCAGGATTATTTAAGTACTTCAATTATGCTGATTTATATTTGATTTCATTTCATCTGATATGTGAAGCTCATGTTTATACATAATATTTTTTTTTACTTTTTTTATACTGTTTTAGACTGATTATTGTAATGTTCAAAATTATATTTCTTTACATTCAGAATTTATGATTCAATAATTTTAACTTGTGACTAGTTTTTTTTCTATGTATATTTTAACTGACTTGCAACAAACATTCAAGTGTGAAGTTGTCAAATAAATATATCTATCTATCTATACTTGTCCCAATTCTTCTTATCCTTTCCGACAATCAAGGGAAGTACAAATACTGGTTGTGGCGTGGTTGTGTAGGGAAGTACAAATACTGGTTGTAGCGGCTCCACTTGCTCTTGCTGTCTTCTAGCTAAAGCTTGTTCTACCATCACTTTGGAGTAACCAGTCCATTGAAGGTCATTTTTGCTTATGCCTAGTTCCTTTTCGAGACCATCCTTTGTATTATCCTTTGTATGGTGGTTGGATTCCTGGTTCAGATACTGTCCCGTGTGAGTGTGTTTTCGGTATACACGTTTCCGATTTAGTGTCGGTCCTCTTCATCAATATGTCTAAGAATGGCAATTCATTGTGGACTTCCTTCTCCATTGTGAAAGTAATGGAAGGACTGACGTTTTTGTTGTGCTTCAGGAAAGTGTCTAGTTCTGCGTTCCCATGGATCCATATTATGAAGGTATCGTCCACGTATCTTAACCAGACTCGGGGCTTCTTGTGGGCTTCCTCGAAGGCCAGAGTTTCGAACCGCTCCATATACAGTAGAATTCGTATATAACGACTCCGCTTATAACGACTATCCGTTTACAGCGACGATAATGTTTATTCAAGTTTAGTTTCATATTTAGTTATTGAGAAAATATACCGTTTAGTGCGACTCCGGTTTAAGCGACCAACCGCTTATAGCGACCGTTTTTTATGATACTACATCCAGTTGAAACTTCGCGCAATGTTTTGTTTACACAATCTGCGCACCAATACCTCGGCGCACTCCCTCTTAGGTACGTCTATTGATAGGTACTACTAACAGATATTAATAGATTGATTTTACGCCAGAGGTTCCAGTATGAAGTCTTTGTCACTTGCTGTAAGTTCATAAAGTTCGAAAAAATGAATTCTGTGAAGCGAAAGTGTTTTGCAATTGAAGAAAAAAGTGCAATATTACACCAATTAGAAGTCGGTGAATCAAATCCAGCCCTCGCAAAGGAGTTTGGCGTATCCCATTCTATAATATTCACTATTGAAAAGATTAAAGATAAAATGGAGTCGCTGTTCAATGCCAACGTTTTGAAATGCAAACGTGTAAGGACTTCTACTCATGAGCAGTTGGATAAGGCATTGTACAGTGGTTCAAGCTTCAGCGCGACCGGAGAATACCCCTTAATGGACCTCTGCTACAAGAGCACATTTCCATATTACAGACTTGATGGTGTTTTTGCCTCCAAACACGACATCAGTGTTGCAACCCATGGACCAAGGGATTATTCGAACTTTGAAATCACATTTTCGTAAAAACGCTAACGACGCGAATTGCAAAGATAATGACGGTGATGATGCCGCACCAGAGGAGATTTATCCAACCTTAAGTGAAGCTCCGAAGGCTGCGAAAACACTCAATTTGTTTGTTCAGATCAACTTGGATGATAATTTTATGAAAACAATGATGTCGCGAATTCATAATGCTGTACGAAATTCTCACTACCGAACAAACGTTTGTCAAAAACAAACTCAAATAACACTGTCTACGTTAGTCACACAGTTTTTTCGTGCAATGCCTGTGTATTTTATCTCTTTGTATTACAGTACATACGTGTGTACATTAGGATATTCAAGAACTATTAAAATAAAGCATATGTGATTCCTATACAATGTATTATTCCCCAATCGATCAGCAATCCGAACAGCTAAATGAATGACGTCGTCGGTTAGTACGACATAGTATATCCGGTCCCTTGAAGGTCGTTATATCCGGATTCTACTGTATATGTTAGCTATAACCGGTGAAAGTGGCGATCCCATTGACAGTCCCTTATGTTGCGTCAAGAATTCGTTCTTCAGTTGGAAGTAGCAGTTTTTTATCGAAGAATCATCTTCAGCGATGAAGACCATTTTTGGAAGAATGGGTAGATGAACAAACAAAATTTTCGAATTTGGGACGATACAAACCCACCTTAGATCTAAGAGCGTTCAATGCATCGCGAAATAGTCACTGTTTGGTGTGGATTTTGAGCTGGCGGACCATGTTTCTTCTAGAACAACGTTGATCTGGTCATCACCCTCAACGGCGAGCACTATAGGTCGATAAGTCGATGATTATCAACTTCTTTTGGCCTGAATTGGACACCATCGACATGTGGTTTCAACTGGATGACATGGAGGGCATGGTCTTCTCACGTAGAGGTGATGTGAACTGTCCACCGAGATCGTGCCATTTGCCTCCGTTAAACTTTTTCTTGTGGGTTTTTCTTAAGTCGCAGATGTATGAGAATCAGCCACAAACCACAGCGGTCGTCAAAGCCAACATTACCCATGCCATCGGTCAAATTCAGCCTGATTTATACGCCAGAGTCATGGAAAATTAGACGTTTCGGATGGGCTCCACCCAGTGAAGCCATAGCGGACATTTGAAGGATGTTGTTATATTCCACACATGATGGCATCAATAGGTCTTTCAAACAAATAAAAAATTTGGATGATGTCTGTCTCACACTTTATTTCATTTAAATTTTAAGATGGGAAGCGCTTAATAAAAGACCCTAC